CCCGCGCCCCGCGGCCATGCGCCCCCCGCGTCCCTACGCTGCGCTGCTCCCGCTCCTGGCCGCGCTCCTGGCCGCGCCCCCGGTGGCCCTGGCCGAGGCCCCTTACCTGGTGCGCGTGGACGCGGCCCGCGCGCTGCGGCCCCTGCGGGCCTTCTGGAGGAGCACGGGCTTCTGGTGAGCGCCCCGCGCGGGGAAACTGAGGGCCGAGTGGCACGCCGTCTCCGTCTCCACGTGCGCTCTTCCCAACCCAGGCCATCCACCCCGGCCTTTCGGGCCCATTGTCGCGTCTAGGGAGACCCTGCCCGTGCTCTCCAGCTCTGCAGTGAGGACGGCGGCCCCAAGCTCCTAACTCTGGGGTCGACCGTCTGTCAGGGTGGGCGTCTTGTTTCTTGTACCCCGGATCCATAACATATTTGGAGTCCGGTGGGGGGTTTCTACCTGAAGGGGTGCCGGGCGTGGTGGAGGCCTGGAGCTAGGCCCTGAGCTTGCCTGGCAGCCCCCAGAAGTGTGAAGAGGCTTGTGGCTGCCCCTGGTCACCCAGGCCAAGTGGGGCAGCCCCAGGGGTGTCACATGTCCCTGCAGTGGGACCTGATCCCCACTGTGGAGAGCTGAGATCCTCCCCTGGCTGTCAGGGCAAGGGGAGGGTTGGAATATGTTTTCTGTCCTGTGGGAGCTCCCATCCCCCTTAAGAAGACTTCACAACATTCCTGGCTTTAGGGTCACTTTATTATTCGTTGAGTAGACATGCACCGGCTTGTATGCTGGAGCCTGCAGCCCAGCATTTGTGGGCCCTGGACTTATAGGAGCCAGGCCCCAAAGCTCAGGACTAATGCAGCCACTCCCTTGTTCTGTCCTAGCCCCCCACTGCCACACAGCCAGGCTGACCAATACGACCTCAGCTGGGACCAGCAGCTCAACCTCGCCTATGTGGGCGCCGTGCCTCACAGTGGCATTGAACAGGTCCGGACCCACTGGCTGCTGGACCTCGTCACAGCCAGGTGGGTGATGCAAGGGGATCCTGGGTGCTGCTGGCCAGAGCCTGCCTTACAGAGACAATGGGGGGTTACTGCAGTGGGACACAGGGCAGGGGGGCTGCACTGACCAGCTGCCCTTGCACCTCCTGGCAGAGAATCCTGTGGGGAGGGGATGGGACCCTGTGTGCTGGGGGCAGCCCCTGGATGGGGCACTGCTGACTTCACTGAAGGTCACTTTGGAGGTCTGGGGTCAGGCTTGGGTCAAGGCCTTGGGCTACAACTGGCCCTTGTGCCCATGCAGTGTGTTACTTGGTCGGGCTATGCAGGGTGACCATTCCTGAGGGCCAGGCTGACATCGTGGGTCACACCACATTTTTCCTGTAAGGCCCAGAGGGGGCTGAGGCAGGAGCTATGAAGGGCACTTGGGAATGTGGGGGTCTTCTAGAAACACGGAGACCGTCACACCCTGGGCCAGTGCTACCAGCTCCTACCCAGCCGGGCAGGGGCTGGGCAGGCCTGGGGACACGGAGTCCTTTCAGCACCTTGGAGATTGTGTAATTTGCAGGGCCCCTTCTTCGAATAAGATGGCAGCACAGTGTCAGGTGGGGCTTGGCCCTCCTGACCTCGGGCCGAGTGGCTCCGTGTACTGGTGTCAGGGTCAGCAGCACTGCCAGGCAGTGCCTGTCTCAAAGCAAGGTTCTTCATCACCAAGCATTTGGGGTCCTGTGTGTGTTCGGATTGCTGCCCTCCCCTTTCCCCATTGGGGTTCCCTGGTTCCCCTGGGGCAGAGCTGGTGCGAGGGTGAGTCTCGGGATGACTCCAGCTCTTGGCGTTGCTCCCCGGGGAGGATGTCGGTGGTGGCTTGCGATGTCTGCTGAGGGCTCCTGGGAGGGGGAGGGGCTGGGGGCAGGCCCTGGCCCTGCTTGCTACAGGGTGGAGTTTGCAGCAGCCAGCTCCCCGCGGCAGGCTTGCGCGGCCTGCACAGCCCCGTGCACGCTATGGAACAGCTGTTTCTCCTCGGCTGCAGCCCCCTGGTCCTCCTCCAGGAAGCCACCTCTCCTCAGAGCGTCCCTTACTGAGGGGTTGCAGCAGGCCAGGAGCAGGGTGACGCCCAGGGCCCTGTAGTCTCGGCGCAGGTCCTGCAGCGTGGCCATGCCAGCTGCATCCAGGAACAGCAGTGGGGCGCAGTCAATGACCACCGTGTGGAAGCCAGCTGCCACGGGTACCAGTGCGGCCCTGCTGCTCGCAGGGCCCAGGTCCTGGCCACTGACGGAGTCTCCCTCGCTGACCCCCACCTCTGAGCCCCGCTCCTTCCTCTGGGCAGCCAGGCGCCCAGCGTCCAGCCCCGTGAGGCTGTAGAGTGACCGCAGGAAGAAGTCCTTGTTGGCGTAGTAAAGTGGCCCCGCGAAGCGGAACACCCGCACCCCGGGCTCAGAGACCAGGCCCTCGAACTCTGCAGCGTCCTCGTAGAAGGCTGAGTCCCCGACGCGGCCAAGCAGGGCAGCACGCGGGCGCTGTGTGCGGCCCGCCAGGCTGAGCAGCGAGAGGAGCACGCCGGCCAGCAGCCCTGCCTCCGTGCTGACCAGCACGCAGGTGGCTGCGGTGGCCACCCAGACCAGCGCGTCCACTGGGCTCAGCCGCCACAGCTGCGGGAGGTCCCTCACCTTGCGCAGGGCCCCCCGCAGGCTGACGACAATGATGCAGGCCAGCACGCTCCGCTGCAGGTCTCGGAATAGTGGCGCCAGTGCCAGCAGCACCAGCAGCACCACAGCCGCGCTGACCACACTGGACAACTGTGTCTGGCAGCCGGTGGCCGTTTTCACCAGGCTCTTGGCCAGGGCAGCACTGGTGGCAAAGCAGTGGAAGAAGGCAGGCAGCATGTTGCAGCAGCCCACAGCCAGCAGCTCCTGGTTGGCGCAGACAGAGTAGCCGTGGCTGCGGGCAAACATCTCCGCCAGCGAGATGGAGAAGGCTGAGCCCACCAGGGCTAGGGGCACGGCATCCAGTGCCACATGCCGCATCAGCCTGGCATCAGGCACCTGTGGGGCCACAAAGCCAGTGGGGATGTTGCCAGCCACACTCGAGCCGAAGCGCTTGTGGAGCTGCCCAAAGTGGGACACGAGGGTGGCCACCACGATGACCAGCAGCTCCGTGGGCAGCGGCACCCTCAGGCGGCCCCGGCAGCGGTCCGAGAGCTCCTTAGCGGCCAACAGCACAGCCAGGCACACGGTGCTGGTAACCACGTCACAGATGTTGGCCTGCCCGGCACTGCGCAGCAGGCTCAGCCATGTGCTGACCACCAGGCCAGGCCCCTGGTGCCGAGGGACCCGCACACCCAGCAGGTGCCTGAGCTGTGAGGTCAGGATGGTCACAGAGGCCCCCATGGCAAAGCCGTCGAGCAGTGGCTGTGAGAGGTAGGCAGACACAAAGCCCAGCCGGAGGACGCCCATGAGGACCTGTGGGCAGAGTGCAGTCAGGCCCAGTCCACCTGATGGGAGTCAGGCACCCCATGTCACCAGCACCTGGTGGGGGCCCAAGGGTGGTTGCAGCACAGAGACTGACTGCAGAGAGCCGGGTGTGGGGAGGTCACGCCCTAGATCCCACCTGGCAGGAAGCCCAGGAGGCCATGTGGGCTGTGGTTCAGCTCGTCTGAGCCACTGCCATGCTTGGCCCGCCAACCTCACCCATGCCACGGCTAGCCAGGCCAGCGCCCGTGCCCCTCCTGTACCTTCAGCCCCCATGTGTCAGTGCCTGGCCCCAGGACCTGCTTGTCTGTCCCACCCCGCCCTCTCTCCGAGGCCCTGGCCCTGTACTTCCTCCCAGGCCTGCCCTGGCGGTGGGCGCCCTGAACAGCCAAGCCAGCCTGTCCCTGCCCCCAGGCAGCAGCTGCTCACCTGGTAAACCCCAGTCACGAGTGTGAGGGCAGTGGCGATGCGGATGGCGTGGCAGTCCCGCCCGCAGTCCTGCAGCCCGAGTGCCAGCGTCATGGCCGAGCTGTTGAGGGCACTGCTATTGGCCCCGGGCCCCGGGCCGTCCTGGGAGGGGTCGAAGCCAGCCAGCTGGAGCTCACGGTCCACCACCTGCCCCACCATGAGGCAGAGCAGGCTGAAGATGCCCACAGAGACATGGCGTGAGGTGCCCATGAGGAAGTAGATGAGGTTGGCAAAGAAGGAGGTGTAGAGACTGTAGATGGGCTGCAGCCCGGCCAGCATCGAGTACGCGATGGCCTGTGGCACCAGGATGATACCGATGACCAGCCCGGACAGCACGTCACCTGCCAGGTATTCCCGCAGGCGGTACTGGCGCAGCCAGCGTGTGGCGGGGACCAGGTCCTGCAGCAGCGCCTGGGCTCGTGGCACGCTGCATGCACAGCCCTGCTGCAGCCGAGCCTTCAGCCTCTCGCGCAGGGCCTGGGGCGCCGGGGGCTGCCGTCGGACCAGCACCAGCCCCCTGCCCTGCCGCAGGGGCTCAGGGAACACTTCCATTCTGCAGTGCCTGGCCCTCAGGCCAACCTGCAAGGAAGGAGTGGGCACGCTCGTGGGGACCCAGAGCCCAGGAACCCAGGATCCAGGTTCAAACAAGAAAGGCCCAGGCACCGAGGTTGGAGGTTGGAAGCTGCCCTGCTCCCAGGTGCCGGGAGGACCAGGCTGGGGACTGAATGCTGAGCTCTCTCCCAGCAGTATGGGCCCCATACCCACTGCCCTGTGTGGACGGGCACGTCAGGCTGAGCTCCAGAATCCCCTCTAGAGCAACAGCCACATGCCTCAGTGTGCTCCGGGCAGTCTGGCCATTACTCTGCAGCTCCTGCCTGAAAACCGCCTGCAGCTCCTTGAGCAAACCTCCCCAGGGAGAGGAGCTGGCCAGGTGGCTGCCACACGTGTGCCGCAGGTCAGAGGGTTGCAGAGACCCAGGCACACGTTCCACCGGACCTGGGCTGCTGTCCACCTCCCACGTCCACCCCATGCTCACACCAGAGCCCCTGCCCTTCCCACATCCATCGTCGCCCACTCTCCCTCTGTGGACACCTTCGGCCTGTCCCTCCACCATCTCTGTTCTGCGGGTCCTGTCATCCCTGTGGATGCTGGGACCCCAAAGCCATGTTTGGGGAGCAGCACTTGGACACCAGCCAATCTCATCCAGCCATCCTTGTAGCAAATTCTGACAGTATATCTTGACAGTAGCCTGGTGGGGCCAGCCTGGGGGGTGATTGGCACCCGTCTCTCCTGCCCAGGGTGTTCCGGGACATGGGGTGCCAAAGCCCCTTCCCAGGCTGCAGATGCACAGACAGGCTACACCATGCCTGGGTCAGCACCCGGGGGCACTCCAGCCCCCTGAAAACAGCAGCCTGGCCTTTCAAGCTCTAAGAGCACTTCCTCACCTTGCTTTCAGCCTTGGAGAGCACTGTGGGCATCAGGAAGGTGGCGCTTGGAGGCCAAATTGATCACACAGCAGCCTTGGATCTGTCCTGTTTACAGGCTCCAAAGTACTTTGGTGTTTTAAATCCCCTACATAGTGACATTAAGCAAACACCCAGGACATCCTGTGGTGGTATTGAGTCCACTATGTATGGGCTGGCCCAGGACAAGGGGCCTGGCGTCTCCCTGGAGAGTAGGGGACAGCAGTGGTCTTATCCTGGCAGACCAGCTTGGGCCGTCCAGGCACAAACCCCGTGGAGTCCAGAGTAGCCGCTCTGTCCCTTTAGAAAACGGTATGAAGTTATGTTGCCTTCTAACAAAACCCCTGCCACACAGGAGTCCCTGGACACCTGGAAGCTCACCCTGAGTCCCTGAGGACCCAGGTGTGTAGTGCCAGGACTGTGTAAATACCACCTGTCCTGTGTCTGAGAGCCCCCAAAAGACATCACGGAATCTGGGACATCCCTGGCCAGTGGGTCAGTGTTGACTCCTGCCTCTGCAGTAGGCACTTCTGCTGCGGCCCAGTTGTTTGGGCCCTTAACTGTCCTGAGACTGGGGCTCAGCGATGATTCTTACCTGAGGGGGCCCTCACTGGTGCGGCAGGTGCAGGATAGCACGGGCTGGCCGTCCACCAAGGCTGGAACCCTGTGGCCTCTGCCGGCAGGTTGGGGCAGCAGGGGCAGTGGCTGGTCTGACCTGTGGGCAGTGCTTTGTGTGCTGGGCTTGCTGTTAAATTATTTACACCGAAGACTGCTGAGTCATGGGTCCCCCCAGACGAGTTACCTGAGTGGCTAATCCGGGGAGTTGTACTGTAATCAGAGGCTCACAAATAATTACAATTGTCTGGGCCTCTGGTAAGCTCCCAGCCTCCCAGGAGTGGGGCCGTAGGTGCAGCCTGAGGCCCTGCCACATGGGGTGGGGCGGGGGTGAAGTGAGTGGCTGGAGCAGGATGCTTGTGTGTCTGGGGTTCCTCGGTGGGAGGCAGAGGCTCGAGAGCTGAGCACAGGCACCCAGCAACCCTTAAGCTCTGGGGCCTGGGGTCAAGTTCAGTACCCCCCCAACCCGGGAGGGCGTGTGAAGGAGGGGCCAGTCTCCTTGTCCAATCCCTGGATATTCTCCCCATCCAGCGAGGAGCCAGGTCAGGTCCAAGCTGAAATGGGAGTGGAAAGTGGTTGGAGAGAGGGAATGGGGTGTCCAGAGGGTGGGAAGCTGGGGGCGCAGGGCCCAATATTCCAGGGGTCCTGGACCCCCATACCTTTGTTCTCAGCCCCCCACTTGGGATGCCCACATCTAGTTCCTTCCCCTCAAAGACCTGCCCCCTCCCAGACAGGGCAGGCCTTGGGCCTCCTCCTCCCCCACCCACTGGTCCGTGGGGGGCAGCTGTTTGCCTGGCGGCTGGGAGCTGCGGTTTGCAGAAGCTGCTGGCCAGAGGGTGGGGTGGGGTGAATCATAGGCTTTCAGGGACTCAGACCTCCGAGCAGATAAAGTTGGAGGAGACGGCAGCTACCCAGGGGGTCATAAAATGCTAACTTGGCCCCCATTACCCTGGGAGGCCTGCTCCCTAGGGGTCTTCCTCAAAGGAGGGCAGGGCCTGGGCTGTGCCACAGGGAGGGGGTCCTGGGTTCACCCAGCAGGAGTGCCTAGTGCACACACGCGTGCGTGCATGCTGGGATCGAGGTGCCAGTGCAGGACAGGGTAGGGGATTGCCTGGGGGGATGGAAAAACGTAGTGTAGGAGGCAGCTCTGCCCCCATCAGGAAGGCGGGATGGGGATTTCTCGAAGCTCTCAGGGTGCACCCGTGGCGGTACTTTAGGCACGTAGAGGTAGTTCATGAAGGGGTGGTTCTCCTCCCGGCACCCGGCTTCCCAAGCCTCTCAGGCGCACTGGCCTTGGCTGTGCTGGGTGGCACGGATTGGGCCTTGCACCCCGCCCAGCCCCCACCAGGCTGGGTGTTTAAGAGGTTAGGAAATACAAGTGAGGTCACACCTGCTGCTGAGAAAACCGTAGGACCCCTGGGGTCTGATCCCCGCTCCACCCCATCTCTCTGCCCCCATTTGTCTACCTGTGCATTGAGGCCGCAGCTCGTGCTGCGATGTGGATCCGGGGACCATCCCGGCCGGAGAGAGTGTGCAGGCCCGCCCTGCCCTGGCCTGCACGCGGCGGGGAGCAGGGGTCCCCAGCGCCTGCGCCTGCCTGCCCGGACCCCAGTCCTGGGCGTCGCGTTATTTCCTTAATTTTGTCTTTAAGCCAACCGCTTTAAATTTGAGTGCATTTGTTTGGAAAAGAAACGCTGTACCGCTACCTCCGGGGGAAGAGGCCGGCAGCAGAGCCCTGGGGACCAGGCGGGGCTTGCTTCCCGATGAGCCGCCCCTGGGCGCGGTGCTCCGGGCCGCGGGAGATGCCCGGGGACCCCCACCCCAGCCCGGGCCGCGGAGCACGTTCTCCCGGAGGCGGGCCCGTGTCCGCCGCTGCCCGCGTTCCACCACCCCGCGCCCCGCGCCCCCCTCCGGCAC